TAAAGCTCCTCTCTTTTAACTGAAAGCCATCCTGCCTTGCACTACTACTAGTAGGCTGTGTTAAAAGGCACTTCCCTTCCTGTTTGAAAGCTCTCTTCAAGTTTTGAAAGGATGCAGTGAGGTCTCCCCAGAGCCTTCTCTTCTTCGGGCTGAATGAACTCAACTCCCTCGACCTTTCTTCCTAGGAACCACTCTAACTGGTCCTCATCCCTCCTGTATCGGGAGCCTCATAAGGGCAGAGCAGAAGGGGACAATCCCAATCCCTTCCCTCTCCCTTCTGGCTGCCCCTCTGTTGATGCAGACCAGGATACAGTTGACCTTCCAGACATGCTACATGCAGGGACAGTGCTCTGTTGTACTAGGGTTTTTCAAGCCTTTATACCTCATCCTCCACACAGTTCTGGTCTTTTCCTTTGTGGAGACCCGAGCACTTGCAGAACCTCACTGTGCTAATGAGAGAAAAGATAGGATATGAAGAATGGAGATGGAAGGAGCAGAGGATGTGAATGCGGTGCTGCTCTGGGTAGGCAGCAGCATGCTGTGTTGAGACAGCAACTGTGGCTGACAGCTTGTCCTATTAAAAACAGCACTCCAGCAAAACAGCACTGGCCAAATGTTTGCACGACAGCTATGTGTGAGAAAGGGCTGGGAGCCTGACAACTTAGACTGAAAACAGAGAGGGGTGAATGTTTCCCAGTATTTCAACTGGACATAAACCAGAAAAGAATGTAGGTCAGTGGAGTTTTACTGGTTGGCTTCCTGGTAGCATCATCTGGGTTTTGAGCAATGCCTGCTCTAGACTTACATCCAGGTGGGTGTAAGCCACAGAAGAGAGCTGTGACAAATGGGGGGTCATTAGAATGTTCAGCTGTCAGTGCAGAAGTTAGGGATAAATGTGTTCAGGAGGTGTGTGAAACCTCATGGCAATTCCAGGCAAGGCTGGGATGTCTGTTGTGGCAGGTGAGCATTCTGTACCTCATGTTTCCCCCTGCCCAAGCACAAGCGTTTTCTTCTCAGACAGATTTCTACTATTGTCTGAATAGTAAACATCACTTTGTATCCCAGAGCAAAACAAAAATCCCCATCACGTTCATGTCTCACCAGGGCTGCTGGGCCCTGCGCATTTCAGCTTTTCCCTACTGTATTTTGAAACCTCATTTGTCCCTTGTTTTGGAGATTATCAGCCAAGATAAACGTTTCACAACAGATCCCTCCACGGCCACTACCTGCAGTAACTCATTTCCAGTAATGTATTTCTCTGATTGCTTTTCAGACAGTAAATACAATGGACAGTGTGACTCCCAGAAACAAGCGAGGGGGAAATAAAACCCAATGCAAGGATAATGGATCTTTGCATTTTTGCAAGTGCATGTGTGGGTGTTGCAGATTTTGTTCAAGTGTGTCATGGACGGGTTGGGGGGGTGGATTACAAGATGCTATTTGCAGAAAATAGGACAATCTGCCAAAACTTGATTTTTTTTACTTGTATTTCTTTCACCATGTCCTAGTAAAGGAATGGAGAAACAATAACCCCCATTGAGAATTTTCAGAAGCAGAACTTTATCTGGTCTTTATTAATCCAGGCACTGATCAAACCTCAGGAGGGGAAATCTGTGCTTGTTCATCAATAATACTTGAGCAAGTACTTGCCATTAATTGCATGTTCTGTTGGCTTCAAGGCTAAGTGCTGCTAAAGGAGGAGATTTCTTCAGTCAGGGGAGATTGGAGTGCTCGGTGTGTGCTGTCCTGCTTGGGCTCTTGTCCTGTGCCTGTTGGTAGATGGCTCTGGAAAAGAGAGGGGCCATAATTAAAAGCAAATTCCTATGAGGCTTGCACTGAGGAAGTTCAGAAAGGAAAGAACCTCATGCTGGTACAGAGAGAGCACCACTCATGCTCCCCCACGCACATGTTCCAGCTGTAGCATTGTTCAGTGTGCCTGGCTTCATGCATTGTTTTCAGCTCACAGGTAATTAGTGTCTGAGAGCCAACCCACTCTTTGCTGTAGTGGAACAATGTAAAAATCCTCTTTTTTCACTGTGAAATATTCTTACCCTCTTTTGGTCTTGTCAAGCCAGACAATACAGTTGTCTTGTCATCATATTTCCCACAGCAGCAGAAAGTTTGCCAAGTGGTAGAATAGATCTCATAAGCCCTTAGTTACCATGACTTCACCAGTGCAACTTGACAGCCTTTGGTGGACTTTGATTCAGATTCATGTGGATCTGGGGGAATTCAGGCTTGGAAAGCCTGGCATTGTTGGCTGTTGTTGACAAACAGACCCAGCAGGTGAAGGATTGGTGTCGGTGATGAGCAGAGAGGATGGCTTCAATACTACTCTGCTGTGTGCAGGCTGCAAAGTCACATTCCTGAATGATCAGCTTCATTTCTGAATTAAGAGCAACACAGCACAGGGCAGATAGCACCGTCCAGCAGTTTTGGGGGAATTTGCTGGGGAGAAAGGATTTCATTACTTTTTTTCCCTAAATAGATAAATACATTACTTTAGTGCTCTTTATTTGCATAACTTGTCAATCAGTAGCAATCACTTCTGCTAACACAGCCCAACAGTATTGCTCAGATGTTAACGAAGAGCAGAGGGTGTGATTGCAAAGAGTCACTCTCAGGGCTCCCGATATTGCCCAGGAAATGGGGAGGTGAGAATGAAATGCAGGGGTGGTACTGGAGGCAGAAAAGCAGCAGAAGGAGGACGCTGGCCAAGGATGGCTCTGAAGAGAAGGTGGGTTGTAAAGAATTGGAGATGAGAGAAAGTGAATGAAGATTAAGTCAGAGGATATGAGAGGCAGAAGAGGGAGAATTACATCAAAAGTGGGAGGCAGAGATGTAGATGCAATTAATTTTTTGTGAGTCACCACCAAGCGATCGTGCCCCCACAGAGGTTGACTCAGCAGCTTTGGTGGGAAAATTGGAGCTTTCCCTCTGGGATGCCATTCCAGATCAAAGCAGGCTTGATTACTAGAACTGGAATTTCTATCACTGATCCTTCCCAGTCTGAAAGGAACTTTTCAAATGCGCCTTGAAAGCCAGCATCCTCTCTTCCCAGGTCTATGTCACTGTCTATTTTGGGGCCCTTTGCTCAGCTGAGATCTTAGTTGTTTGGGCAGAGGTGCAGTGGCCACAAGAGGCACCAATTACTGCACATCCTCTCAGAGACTGGAGAAATCTAAAAGGGAAAAGCTAGTGAACAAAAATAACTTGACGGAAGAAGGCTTCTGTGATCACAGGCTATCTGATATCACTGACAGATGCTTGGCCAGAATAACACTGCTGGGAAGATAAGAGTAAGATGCTAATAGAAAATGATTCACAAATGAGATGCAATCCAGAAAATACGGAATAGGAAAGTGGTGCCACAGCCTCTGTGCATGGTGTTGCATTCCCCTGGGGAATGAGGCTGGGGTTTTGTACTGATTCACTCCCCACGCTGTTGATTTCACAGGTTTTGGGCCAGGTTCCCATCTCCCACTTTCATTCTGTGTCCATACAGCACCCACACAGCTGTAGGTGAGGATAGCACAGAGCTTTCTTTTCAGGCTATGAACATCTTGCATTCAGAAGCTTTCTGTAATGCTGGTGATGGTTAAAACAAAGCCACTCTCTCTCCAATCTGCAGAACTGGTACAGCAAACACTAGGTAATCTTCCTCTTCCCCTTTCTGCCTTTAGGAAAAGGCAGTAAGACCCAACTAATGCCAGAAAGCCCTGAACCTAAGCCAAGAAGCTATCTGTATGTCCAGAGGCGTTAGTCTCTCTCACTTGTTCAGCTCTCAGTGGGTTTTGCAGTGTTCGTGTTGAGGAGGGAATCAACTGCTGCTCGTCTGAGATCTAATCTCATGTTTTCATCCCACCTCAACCACAGCAGCAGAAGCTGGGGGAGGGCAGTGCCCATGGCAGATAGCTGCTGTTGTGCATTGGCTGCTGATCAAAAAGCTCTGCCTATGCTTTGGATGTGCTTAGTTTGGACCAAGAAAGGCAGAAGTTTGAGCGATGCTCCGGTGTCCATTAATCTATCTTCGTTTCTCTCAAGGGATCCAGCTTTTTATTTAGTCATATATTCATGGCTGCTGTTGGCTCGCTGCTGCTCACATTAATTGCCCTTGAGCAGAGGAATGTCTCCCAGAAGGCCTCACCCTTTCTCAGCATCAGATCATAACTTCTTTAATTGCTGTTGTTAACTTTCTGCTGGCTTCATCCCCTCTGCTGTCCCAGTGCGGAGCAGAACAGCATGAGCCTTCGTCAGGCCCCATGTCCCCACTGATGCTAATCTGGGGCAACACACTGCTACCAGCCAAAGCCCCCCCTAGGGACCTTATCTCTCTTTCAGAATCAGAAATTAAAATTATTAAAGCCAAAAAGTGTCTGACAGGAGCTGCCAGACAGAACCACAGAAGTATTAGCTCGGTGGCTGACTGCAGTGTGAGAGCACGAGAGTAGGGCTCTGACTGCTAAAACCAAGGCTTGCGGGCTGTTTCTTTGACACAGGTTGCGTATTTCTGCTGCAGCCTGGCTTTAAAAGCCTTTGGTATAGAAGCCAACAGCTGCAGTAGCCATGCACTAAGTAGTGTTACACAAGGAAGGTGCAAGCTTACAAATGTAGACGTCCCATAGCCACAACAGAGGATAAGCCCTGTTTTCTTCTTTCCTGATTGTAAGAATTCAACAACCAAATTGCTTCATTCCTCATGTTACCCTTTTTTTCAGTTGTTGTCATGGCAAAACCTCAGTAAGGCAGGGCAGTTGTACCAAACCAGAGGGACATCAGATCTTCTCTCTGATTGATTGAAAGATTGATGAAAAGATGTGCTCGGAATCTCACTAAGAATGAACCCCACGTGTGCGAGCAGCTTCAAGGAGTACAGCCCACACAATTCAGGAGATCAGTGCACATCGGGAATGAGGCAGGGAGACAGCAAATATATTTATATCTTCATTCAGGTAATGGTTTTCTATGCTTCACCTACTGCTCCTTGGGATGTTTTCCAGGTTGCATCAAGTGAATTTCGATGCTCCCACTTGCGAAGGCAAGCGCCGAGAAACGCTCTCCTTGATAGGGGACTTCTCCTCGTCAGCGGAGTTCTTTGTCACCATTGCAGTCTTCGCCTTCCTCTACTCACTGGCTGCCACCGTGGTTTATATCTTCTTCCAGAACAAGTACCGTGAAAACAACAGGGGACCTCTAATTGTAAGTGTGCATTTGCAGTGTTTTCAGGAGCAGTTTTGGTGGTTGAGGCTGTGGTGCGGTCCAGAAGATCCAGAAGCCCAACATCTAAAGCATCTTTGGTCACCTTTCTCAATATTGTAGTGGGGATCTAAACTTATAGCACTGAGGGTTGTAGAGCCTATGTGAGCTTAGTGACAGTTCTGTGTGTGTTTGTGGGGTTCTGTGCTTCCCCAGCACCTCCTGCAGTGATGATGTCCACATGGACAGTGAATGTGGAGCTGGGTGGTTGCATGTGGTTTGGGTTCAGGGCAGCAGAGCTCCATCGATAGGAAGGAAGGGAAGAGGAGGAATTAGCTATCATCCTAGCAGAAAGATGAAAGCATGCCCAGCCAGGGAGATTGCTTTCTGCTAATTACTGCTGAGTGCAGCCAAGTGACTTTGATTTGGAGAATTACATGGCTGGTTTTCCAGAATTACCTGCAGCTCCCGGCACATTTATGTCTCCACACTGACTTTTGAGCATCCTTGCCCTTCAGTTATCATTACATGCACCCAGCAACCCGTGTCAATTTGTGTTGTTATTTTTCTTTTTAGTGATTCCTAAAGGTGCCCAATAAAAAGCAAGTGCTGCGGTGTATTCTTTTTCTTATAAATCAAGGCTGTAAAACCCAGGAGAGCTGTTTTGTTCTAGATGTCCATTACCCACCAGAGCATCACACCCAGGCAGAGACAGGTGCATGATGTTAGACCAGACCTCTGCATCCACAGGTTGTAGGGATGCATCATGCTGCCAACAGGGACCACTCTCCTTCATTCTCCTCCGGTGAATAAATAGTGCCTTGCTTTGCTTGATGTGGTTGGTATCAAGCAATACCTCATTTCAAACTGTCTATGCAGAGGATTAGTTGCAGAGATCTGCCATTTTAATTTTCTTGTAGAAAATAATTCTCTTTTTCTGACTAACTCCATTATCCTGCATGATGGAAAAAGGAATGACAGTAGCAGTGCTAATGTGTCAGTTTATGATGTTGACATTTGTCATTGCCTGGGACTTTGCTGACAGCTGCTGCAGTTGTTTGTTGCAGGATGCACAATGCAATCCACTACAGCATCAGCATGGTGTTGATTTAATTTGTTCTGTGTAATGGACTGTAATTGAATCTACAAGTTAAATTTAACCGGTGCCTGTTACCAAAGCTGCTGTTTGCAGTTTTCCAGTCTTTAAAGCAAGCCTATGTGACCTTATTTGTTCTGAATACAAAGATTCTTCTGTGTGTCCTACAGCTGAGCTGCTCCTGCCAGGGGGTGGTGCTGAGCAGTGGCTCAGGGTTACTTATAACTGCCAGAAATGGGGTTCTACATGCTCCAGGATGGGGTGCAAGGCAGCTTCCCAGGGCTGCAGGGCCCTCCTGAGGGATGCAATGAATTGTGCAAGGGATGAAGGCGATGTCGGGTGTTAGTCTCTTAGGGATGCCCAGGAGATGATGATTTTGCCCTTTCCTCTGCTGCCGTGCCTGATCACAATTTCATATTTAAAACCAGTCCTGTTTTAAGCCTCGCGTTTCCTCTTGGCTTGGGAGTTGCTCAGTCTGGGATGACATCTGCCTTTAAGCTGTGCCTTCTCAGAACTGGCTGCTTTTCCTCCTGACGGATTTGAAAAATGAGTGGATAGAGGCAAAAAACTTTTACTTGAAATTTTAGGAGACTTTTTCAAAACTCTCTTGCACAGGCAGTAAAGCAGAGTCATTGCATCCCAAACTGTACCAGGCCTGTCTGAGTGAAGGCATTACAATTGTAAAGAACATAATGGCCATGGTTGCAGGAGATTCCTGGAGAAGACTTCTGTTGTGAATGTTTTGAGTTCACCCTGTTGACACAAACATGGGGAAAGCCAACTGCTCGTGCTGAGAGCCACACTGGGCACCACTTCAATGGATGAAAGTGTGGGAAAATATTTTAACCTTCTGTGTTAAGTGAGACATTGTGGCAGGAAATATTCCCAGCTTGATGAATGGAGGGTTTTCCTGGACAGATAAGCCTGGGAGAGGACCATAGACTGGGTTTGGTTAAATTCATGCATTGAGTTTGGTTAAACTTATGCACTAGATTTGGTCAAACTCACGTGTTGGGATTGGCTTTGGGAAGTTATAGAGCATCTGTGAACAATCACATACATTCACTTGTAAGCGTATATCACTTTATTCCAGTCAATTAACATAAATGCATTACTTGGCTTAGGCATAAAGTGTTGATAAAACTCTGGAAAGAGAGATTTCATTTTTCTAGTGATTACTTGATAATCTCATTATTGAAGTGCATGAAGATGCTTACATGTAAGGAGATCTTTCCTTTACATTTGGAGTCCTATGAGTAACCACATTAAGAAGAAAGTTGTCGGATTCTTTACATATGTTGTGGCCCAAATGAGTTAAGTATACTGCTCATTCTGTCTTTGGAGATCTCTTTGCTAAAACATTTTATTTCCTTCACTTTGCCTTCTAAAACAACAAAAAAAGACCAAATAATTTTCAGTTACAAAAAATGATGAATAACCCAAACGGTTCTTTGCATTTCAAAGAGTGATTTCAGCCTGCTTCTGCCACCTCCCTTGGGTGCACTGTGCCCTTGCTGCAGATGTTGGTGCCTCCCAAAGGGCTTTGTTGGCAGCGAGCTTCTAAGGCCATAGCTGGAAGTATGTATGAGTGTAACTCATTCAAAGCTTGATCCAAGTAGGCATTTTTGGCAAAGCTGATAGCAGCAAGCTTCAACTTGAAAAAGACAGCAATGATTTTTTTTTTGGCTATACATACTCCAAGCTCTTAAAAACTCCCTTCTTGGATATCCTGTGTGTTTTAAATTTTGGTTTTTTTTTTTGCTTTCTCCTACGTGTTCCTATTTTGCCTCCTTCTCAAAGACACCTGTAGGCAGACCAGAGCATCTCAGCTGAGATCTGAAAATGGAACCTTGCAATTCGGAGTATGGTGTAAGCATACAACAGTACACACTGAAGAGATCTGTAGGCACAACTTCAAGAGGGCAACTACAAAAATTACCTTGTTCCAAAAACAAAAAGGAAAAACAACAACAACAAAAAAAACCACAAAAGGAGACATAGCCATGCTATGGGGATATTAAACATTCAAATGCAAGATTTGTTTTAGTATGCAGACACTCTGGCTTTAATTACAAAGGAGAAATTCCCCAGATAGACATTAAGCCACAGAACAGCTTAGCTTGAGATTCACTTTTATTTTCAGCATGTCATTATCTCGTAACTCTGTTCCACCCAGAGTTGTGAAAATGTTCAGCCAGGAATCCAAACCTGCTTGCAAACAAGAGCAGTTCAAGCTCCAGCCAAAGTTTGAAGGCTAGCAAAGAGTCAAAATAAATAGGAAGGCATAAGTTTGTGCTCTGGTCACATATTTTGTTGTCTTTGTTTTTTTTTTTTAAGGCCAGGCTGGATGGGGCCCTGGGCATCATGATGTAGTGGGTGGCAGCCCTGTCTGTGGGAGGAGGATTGGAACCAGGTAGTCCTTAAGGTCTTCTTCAACTGAAGTCATTCTATGATGATTCTATGGTTTTGCTCCTTGGACAGGATGGATGAGATGTCTGAGCCCCTCTGCTGTAGTTGGGGAGCTTCATTTGTTTTTGTAACTGTCCTCTTTTTAGCGAGTTTTATCTTCTATATTGTGTTAGTTTTGGTCTGTTTGCCTCAGATTTCTAGCCGCTGTTCATTTATTTTGTTGTTAAGGCACTGATTCCAGAGCTTGGCTTCGCTTGCAAAAATATAGCAGTGTGGCAACAGTGAGAGAGAATTATTATCATTTAACAAAGGTATTCCCCAAACCTCTAGTGCATCCCAGCCAACTGGGTTGGTGGGAACCCCTTTGGGAGTTGGAGCTTGGTTGGTAATATGTCAAGGAAGAAAAAAGCATATACCATCATAGTTCATAGCTTAGCAAGAATCTGGCATTTCTACCAGCTGGAATTTTTCAGAAAATACTTTCAATTGAGCTGTTGCCTCTAGGAGTTCATTTCTCATTCAGTTACTGCTAAGGCATAAAGTGTACAATAATTCCTTCTGCTGGAAATCTCCCTGAGAAGAAAATGCGCTGCCAGGCTCTGTGCCTCTGCCTGCACTGCTCCCATTGAGTGCTAAGATGGTTGTCAGCTCCCGGCTGGCACAGCGTGCTCTTCAGGAGAGCCCATTTGGGCAGCACGAAGAGAGGTCAGAGGAACTCAAAGCCCACGGAGAATAAATGGTGGTGCTGTAAAAAAGAAGGATGTGTCCTTTGGGAAGCATCCAAGCACAGTTAATGCGATCCCATCTGTGTGAGCAGAGCAGCCCTTTGTTCATGATGTGCCTGGTGCCTCCTCCATCCATCCTCTCTTGGTGCCACGAAGAGCTCGTTCCCCAAAGCTGGGGGTGCTGGGAGTGGAGGAGAGCCATGTTTCCGGGGATCGCTTATTTCTTTGCATACAAACCCTAAAGACTGCCTTCTTAATGATGGTTTGCTCCTCCTTTGCCATATACCTTTACTTTAAAGGGGAGAGGGGAAGCAGCCCCTCAGGGAGGGGGTATCAAGACGTGATGCAGTCAGTGGGATGTCAGACTTTGGCACCTCCGCCATCTGCTGTGGGCTGACAGATGGCATGGGAGATGACAGCAGAAAGGCTCTTCTGTTTTAGCAAGACACGGGAAAGCTCGAAAAATCACATCTCCTCCCCCGGCTCCCCCCAAACCCACACAGCAACGGTGGCACTTGGCCACTTCTCCTGGCCAAGATGAGGAGAAGTTGATGCTCCAGAGAGCCTTTTGGGGAAAAGTGAGCTTCAGAGCAGAGCTGTGGGGAACGGCTGTAGCCTGCAGGACCACTGCACCTCTTCTCTGTTTTCTCATGGATGGGAATTGGGAGCACTGCTGGAACGGAGGAACTGAGCAGTCTCTGTGCTTGGCAAATTGTTCTGTTTGTTTGGTTGTTTGCTGGGGATAATTAGAGGCTGCATGATGCATGCAATGGGGACATTTGGCCTTACCTGCAGCTGGTGAGAAAGCACCTCAGCTGGTGGCTGGGGATTAGGCAGTTCCAGGTTCTGCCTCAGATGGAAATGCTTCCCATTGGAAACCTGTGCCAGGGACAGCCACCAGCCCAGCTCCTGCCCAAGCACCTGAGTATTTCAATTGCTCCAGCTCCTGGGCCAGGCACCGGGAGCAGCCAAGTTCCCAGGGCAGCTCAGCACCCCACACACCAGCCACATGCCTGCAGGGATCTGCCCTTAGGCTGGAGGTGCCAATGGCAGCCTGAAAACCCTGGAAATTAGCACCATAGGTGATGGCAGTAATCCCGACTCATTGTGAAATAACAAACTCTTGTTTCTTCTCTCTGATGTTTTTTTTTAAATTTTTTCTTCTCAATGAACACACCGGTATAATGCTCCCAACTGATTTGTCTTTTAGGATTTCATTGTGACAGTGGTCTTCTCCTTCTTGTGGCTAGTGGGCTCATCTGCTTGGGCTAAAGGACTGTCCGATGTAAAGATTGCCACCGACCCGGACGAAGTGCTCTTGCTGATGTCAGCCTGCAAACAGCAGTCCAACAAATGCTTGCCCGTTCGCAGTCCTGTTATGTCAAGCCTGAACACTTCGGTTGTAAGTGCATTTCATGACTTACACCATTACCCCACAAATTTATTTCATCTGTTTTGCCTGTGTGTTGACCTAAGTCAGCGGGTATAAACCTGTTAGTGGAAGGCGTGTATCTGGAAGCAGAAGCTTGCTGAAGGGAAAGATAGAGCCTGGCTCAGAGCACCTGAGAGTGTGATGGGTGTGGAGGGCAGGGGTCCTTTGCTTGTAACCTTCCCCAGCTGCAGTGCTTTGGAAAAAGGGGTTGTGCCTGACAGATTCCTTTAGAAACCCTTGAAAAGAGCAATACGAAATTGGTCTTTATGTTTCAGTGAGACATTTAAATGTCATTTCGGTGTTTAAAATATGTTTAAAGAACAAAATAAATGACTTCAAGCAAATCATTTATCTGTTTTTAAAATATTACTACAGCTTACTAAAACAGCAGGGAGAATAGACGCTTAACCTTGCAAATTCACCTCAGGAGGTCAATATGGATGTTTGCTCCATGTCTTAAAGATCTTTCTGTCAGGTCTGGGGAGAAAGATTGTTCGGGGCACCTCGGTTCTCCAAGGACCATGGGGGGTCCAAGCCATCAGGCTGTGTGACACCGCGCTGTGGGTAACGAGCTCCTTTTCTCCCCATCCAGGTCTTTGGATTCTTGAACTTTATCCTCTGGGCAGGCAACATTTGGTTTGTGTTTAAGGAGACGGGCTGGCACTCCTCGGGCCAGCGGCACGCTGCAGACACCATGGAGAAGCAGTCCAGTGGCTACAACCAGGGCGGCTACAACCAGGACAGCTACGGGCCAGCTGGGGGCTACAACCAGCCAGGCTCCTACGGGCAGGTGGGTGACTACGGCCAGCCCCAGAGCTACGGCCAGAGTGGGCCGACCTCCTTCTCTAATCAGATTTAAGGTTCACGTGGTGTGAGCTCTTACATCCCTCACACATAGAGCATTTAGCAGGTTTCCGTGGCACCAGGTTTTTAAGGGTTTTACACAAATTAATACTACAACACAGCGTTCAATGTCGGCTGACGATCTAATTCTACCTCCTGAGGTGGAGGGGAGGTGGCCTGTGGCTGGAGCTGGCATGTTGAGCCCCTGGTAGGCATATACAGGGGTGTGTGCATCACAGGTGGTGACCTGGAGTCCGTGTTGTAGTGCGTACTGTAGAGATAACTTTATGGTAGTTTTGTATGTGTTAAGATGGTAGAAGCATTTTGTAGCCTCAAGTCTGTAGTATTTAATATGCATAATATAATTGAATTTCCTTCTGCATTTTGGTGAGAAACAGAAGTGTTTTACTATTATTTCTACTGATTATTCTGTATATCCATGCATGTAACGGTTTCAAAACTGCCTGTCTGTGACTCTTCAGAGCCTTTGTTTTGATTACATCTTTTGTTTCAGAAGATTTTACTATTATTTCAATTAACCGAGTCATCTGTAACTTAGTGCATGGATAAATGGTTTCATACTACCAACTGTCTGGACTGTGTAAATGGAACTTCTCAACTTCTGCCACTACGTTTTGTTAAATGTATGTTTAAAAGAAGTATGCATCTTTTATATATTTTGCAGAGTTGAATATATGGCTTACCCAAGTTCTGAATGCTTTGTAACAAAAATGTTTTTTTCCTTGAAATGGCATTCAGTAGTATATATGGTACCTGACCAATGTTTATTCCATCTAACCGAGCTAAGTATTCATTCTATAAATCACTATTTCTATGGATGTTTTGTGAATCTTTATATGTGAGCTGTGGAGAATACGGACCAAGTAACTGTGTTATATGTTTACAGAGGTATTTATTTAACTAAGATAACAGAGGTGCAGATATCAGCATATAAATCCACCTGAAGATGCCCTGTTTCTCAGTACAGTAAAACATGAAAAATGCATGTACTGTTGTGACCTTACGAAGCGTAAGCATTCCTTTATGCCCTCTAATCGTAAGAAAGTCTTTCTATCTGTGCTGTTCAAAGATTGTTAGATTTCCCTGTGTTCTGTTGCCGCTCTCAGCATGAGCTTGGTGCTACTGGAGAATGTAACTGGATTGACCAAATAGCCCAGGTTCAGAGGAACTCATGCTAAAATAGCCAGTGCCTGGCTCATAGCCCACTGGGATTTCTCCCTGGAAGATTCCTCACTGCAGAGTATTGGATGTGTTGACATGAAGTAAAGCCTGAAACACGATATGATAATCAAAACTGATCATCTGCATTTCTAAATAAAAGTGTATCAGTATATAATCTTGTATGAGCTGTAATGTTGAAAGCATCTTAGCTTAAAACAGCTTAGTTTCTTCTATGATTGTTGTAACCAATTTATGGCTACTTGGTGGATGAATCTATATTGTGATATCTATTTGACCCTAATAAAGTTATTGCATACAATGCACTTTTTTCAGAGTATGATAATATTAAAATGTCACTGCAAAATAACTAAGATGATGGACAGAATATCATCTGTGTGCTTGACCTTATTGGTCATATTATTGTTTTCCAACACCTTTATGAGCATTGTTTCAATGTGCAGTGGAGTATGAGATGATTCTATGGATACTTGTCTTTAACAGTCACTATCACAAGTTAAAAAATATATATTAATATATTAAACTGTGCAATTTAATATCTGCCCACCTCTATGCCTCTCTTTCCATCTATCAGTAGGACTAGCCCAGTGCTGTGCTAACTATCCCAGTTCTGTAGATTGCTGGACAAGCCATTTCTCAAGCTGTAGAAAAGACAGGCTTGAATAACTAAATGGGAGCACAATCCAACTTTCTGGGTCAGTGAAAATTTTTATTTTGGCTTTCTGTTTTTTTGTTCCTTCTTTTATACATTTGGAAAAAGCTAAATACAGGCAAGTCAGAAGAGAATGAAATCTGTGCTTGTGGGGAGGGATGGCTGTGTCATGACAACTGTTTGTGTCTCATTCCACTATCCTCTCCTTCACTCATTATCCTTGTGTTGTTTGTTGTTTTTTTTTAAATCTGCTTTGTATTAGTTGATCAGGAATGCTCTAAACTGTGTCCTCCAGGCCTCTCTCTGAGAAGATTTTTTCGTGCAATCCAACTTCATCAGCCTTTCCTTATGTGAGGGTCCCAACTTCTCTATGCAATGCTGAGGGTCAGAAACCTGAGTTTTGCTTAGGTTCATTCCCCATTTCAAACAAGCTGAAGTGCTTGTAACCATGTGAACACAGGAACTGTGGCTGTTCAGACCTCGAGGTTAAACCTGAAACAGGGCAGATCCTAATACACGACCAGGGTTGGAAGTAAGACATGACTTCTTTGGGATGTTATTTATGTCACACCTAATCTAAGCAAAGGCTGTCTCATAAAAGGCAGAGCTGGTGGAAAAGTTGAGAAGAGTAGTGACAGAGGCTCACGTTCTCATGGAAGCATTGCCCCTTTCCCTACTGGGTTGGCCACAGCTTGGCTATCTCCTTGCTGCCATGCAGAACAGATGAGCTGGTTGTTGTCCCATACATCCCCCAGGGATTTCTTTGCTGTGAATTAGAAGGGATGAAAAAGCTTTTCATCTACAACTTTTCAGATTAATGCACTGTGGCAGCAGCAAAAGTGAAAACAAAAAGGATACATGTACTCGTCTGTGTTACATAAGAATGTATTTCTGAGTGCTTCCCCTCTGTTCCTGCGGGTTCAAGGCTTATAACATCCTTCAGCAAGTGTTGAGGAATTTGAATTTATTTGAACTGAGAATAGTGGCTGCATAGCAGAATGTTAAGCAGCAAGACAGAAAAGACTCCATCTGATCTCTCCCTTTTTTAAGATAAACAGCTAAGTAAACTCCAGCATCCTCTGCTGCTGGCAGACCAAGTGCTTTCCTTCTTCATCATTAGTGAGTATCTCTGCCAGTTAGTTAAATAACTAGGTCAGCCTGGGAAAAAAACATGTTCCTTGCTCTTCTGTGCTGTCCCTCCTGCTTTCCCATGTGTTTCTCTTTTTAAACCATTTCTCAGCTACCCTAGACAGGAGCAAATTTATGCTTTCCTGATTGATAAAATCTCCTTCATCGCAGCCATTGAGCTGCCCAGACCAGAGCCTCCGTGACGGCTGGGACCTGGGGGAAGTTCCTGCTCCTGCTGCAAGGATTCATATTGCAATTGCCTGATGGGGTTAATTATTTCTAATCTGCAGGTGCTCTCAATGCAGTCATGCCACATGCATTTAGTCTTCTGTCTACTAGCTTGGAGCCAGACTTGAATCTATACCTCTGTTTGTGTGAATGGACAGCTATATAGCTTATGCTTTCCCTAACTTAGCCATTTTCAGGATTGCCTTCCATTCCCTCCTGCTACTAACACCAAGAGCTTTTCCTCCTGAAATTTTCTAAGAGCAGCAATAATTTGCATTTCAGTATTAATACATGGTGCTGATTGCCCCATCATCCATCAATGCCATACATCTCTAGTGTAAAAATTTGAATTTTGTGAGCGTTTTGGTATAAAGTTTTAATAGTTGAGCAAGTGGAGCATCCCTTCCATTCCATTTAGCAACCAGTTTCTTTTCTTACGTTTTTATCATTGTGATTTTATAATTTTATTTTTTTTTTAATGAGTATTGTTGCCTTTTTAAAGCCTAATCTTCCTATAATGAAACGTGTCTCAGAGGGAAAATTATTTGGTAATAATATTTGCAGGCTCCACTCTGAAAATGAATGCAGTGCCCAAACTGCTGGGATTGTCCCTTACGTGTCAGATCTTCAAAGGCAGCAGGGTGCCTGCACCCAGGGAACTGCAGCCCTCTGCTCCTGGGCAGCCCTGTGGGGCAGCATGAGCAGATTTTGACAAATGTTGCATGCTATATCTGAAGAGTGCCTGGATGTGCAATGACAAAGGATGTTTCCTTGCAGACAGCCTGTTTCTAGTAGCTTTGCTTAAATGGTATTTCACCAGCAGTGGGATTCATTAATATTTTATTCATCCCTGATCCCAGAGCTCAATCCCAGGCTCATCTAGGAGCTACACACATGGTGAGGAGATGGGCTGAGGTGCTCGTGCCTCCACCTGAGCTGCTCTGAACGTCAGGTTTGGCAGTGGCTCAAGGTTTAGTTTTCTTCAGGACGCTTAGCAGCAGGTGAGCTCAATGAAGGCAATCAGGAAGCCTCAGCAGGAGGCTGGCGTTGGCTTCACCCTCCCTCTATTGAGCTCCCTTTTTTGTTTGTGTCCTTGTTTCTAAGTAAAACCTCCACTTTGAAATGTCCACATGTAAGACAGCGAGGAGCTACTAAGAGTTTACTGAAGGAATGACAGCGAAATGCACAATGGTGTGGGTGCACCCATGGCTTCAGACCCTCCCATGTGCCCCCGTCCCTACTCTGTCCTGGTGCAGGCAAGCTCACACCTGCCTCTGGCTGCTGTCCTGGGGGCATTGCCAAGAGATCTGCTGCCCACTGACTCGTAACATGTCATCTTGAATGGCAGAAAGTACATGCAAGGGAGGGGAAGATTCTGGCAAAGTACCAAGAAGGAAGTGGGGGCAATAATGTGAAAGCTGAACTGCACACAACGATCCTGTAGAGGTAGGTATCAGGTTGCGTATTTTATGCAGGCAACATTGTTGACATGTGAAATGTGCTAAAAGTTGTCTGATAGGATCACCTGGGTATCTCACACATAAATAGATGTATCGAGATAGATGCAGAGCAGATGGCCCCGCTCCCTGCACACCTTGCTGACCACCAACACGTACAGCCAAAATCTCACTGTCTTCAAAGCTGATCATCTGCAAAGGCAAGGGTTAGCCTTGTGCTACCTGGTATCTGTAGTGCACTAAGGCTCTTGGTACACTAATTAATATATCCTGGAGAGAGAGCAGAGCCCAGGCTTGCCTGAACTTGTTAATGCCCCAGCAGAGCAAATCACCTGTTGTAGAGCTCAGGCTCTCAAAATCAGTCAAATTACAAAGAAAAAAACCTGAGCTGAAATCTGATTGACAGTGGAAAGAGCCCAAAACCCCGGAGCTGGCTCTACCTACAGCTGATAAACATGCAACAGGGTCTGCTCCTCGCTTTCCTTTCTACCTTGGATGCTGCTGAGCCCAAGCATTGCTGTTCTATGGATTAACCAGGATTGTAAGGCTTTTCATGCCTTCTTGTAGGGTTCAACAGATGTAAAGGGGAATTATCACTTCAACGTGATATCAAGACTTCTTTTTTTTTTTTTTAAGCTGATGACAGATTACTAAGGCTGTATTCTTGTTTAATTTTAGTGTGTTAATTGATGGGATAATGAGCATTGATTATATGTGTTTTGGCTGCGTCATTGCAATTACAGGCTCTGTTTTATTCATGAGCCAGTCCTAAAGAATGCGCTAGAGATCTAAGACTGCTTAAACCTCTCAGAAAAAGGCTCTGAATTGTTTGAGTAATGACACTCTTAGATGGAAAATTAAAGGTTCTCTTTTCCCATGCTTTTTAAGATAATTAAAATCCACGAACGGTAAGGTGGTGAACATCCTTATTCATTAGCCTTCGGTAATTTAGCTTCTACTAAATGAGGAAAACATTTTAATTCTCTAGGCCATCTGTTGCAGTCTCCTTTATGTGTCCTGTTACATAAGGACTCATTTTGGGAAGTTTTGCCATCACCCCGTATCCTTTCCCTAGAAGGATGCGCTGGATGAGGTGGCTGCGATTGCTGCCTTTTACCAGCCACCATGGGATGAAAGCAGCTGCTCAGTGCTTTAGGTCAGCATTCCCTACCTGGACACCTCTAGGAAAGGATCCACAGCAAGGAAGCAGGCAGCATAACACACAGCGTGTTTTCTAATAGCGAGATTTGTGCCAATAAATAAAATAAAACTGACCCCTCAGCACCGCCTTGCAGAGGCTGCTTTAATCCCAAGCATTTACTGATCCTGTGATCACCAGGTATTGCTTCCATTATTTATGGGGCACGGCTGTGGGCAGGCTGCTTGTACAGAGCCGAGCTTGCAACCACCTGTTTGCTGTTGCTCGAGTTGCTTAGAGATCACAAACGTTGATCACAAGAGCAATGTGCGGCTGCAGAGCCAGCATCCCCAGCACCAAGCATTACTCTGTCAACCCTGCGCCCACTACGAAGAGCCCTCCAGCTGCAGCAGGCATGCCCAAGCGGTGAGTGATGGCTTTGCTCTTTGCATTTCTAGTGATTTCTGCCTGTAAGTCGTTATCTGGGTGTGTATTTCTGCAATTAGCTTTCTGGGACTTAACAGAGGTTGCCATGCCTCTCTCTGGCAATTTAATGAGCATCTAAACAGCCCTAGCATTTTCAATCTGTCCTTGCAGGGGAGGGGTTCCATCCCTGAGCATCCCTGGGATGTTGGTCTCCCTGCTGTGAAGGAAAGCTGTTCTCCTTGAAGTCCTGGGATTCTGGGGGATTAAATACAGGAAAAATGAGTAAGGTCATTCAGGAGAAACTATACACATGCATCAGGTGATAACCGTGCCTCTTTTTTCTCTCCCTTCAGCATACCTATAGCCAAGCAGCTGGCATCAATAAAAGGTAAGGGGCTCCATCCCCAGCATTCATGATGTCTCCTCTCCTGCTCACTTTTTCCTTA